TAGCAATACGAACCACAGTCGTGGTTACTAAAGTATACAAACATATACTACGCATGCGCAAGTCCCTATTTCCTACTCACTCTCACTTGCGTTTTAGCTACTAGGCCCGGGCTGCTGAGAGAACTCATCTCCTGAGCGCGCCTCTCGCGCACTTATACGCATGTAGTAACAACATTCATTGAGGCTAAATTTTCACTATGTCTAAAAAGTTCTAAAAACAAATCTAAATTTAGTAAAAAAATTTAGCTTACCGGTCCAACGCGTCTACTGTATTTCCAAATTTTCCAAGACATGTTGAAAAATGAGTACTAAAAGTGATATATCGTAAATTTACCGAAATTGCAGTAGTGAATATTCTTTTTCTCTCAATGAACAAAATAGTGTTGCGAATTGAGCATCATTTACCATGGCAATATCTACTACGGTCATGGTTACTAATGTAAACGAACATACAACGCATGCGCTAATTTATATTTGCTGCGTGCGCAACTCTAGTACACCTGTATTTAGGCCTACAGTACTTACTTTTTAGAGGCGTCAACATAATAAAACCTATGATGGCAGCCATTTTTAAATTTATGATGGCTGCCGTCATTGTCGAAAATTAAATGCTCCACAGTATAATTCCATTTCTTCTCGTTGAAAAATAGTAAAATTGATGTTTAACCTGTGTTATTGGGCTTTCTGAGTCGAATAATCATAGTTTCTTTGAGCTAGAATGGCAGCCATTTTAAATTCAAGATGGCCGCCACATAAATCGTCGAAAAGCAAATATTTTGGTATATAAATCCATTTCTCTTCGATCAAAAATGGTAAATTTGGTGTCTAATCATATAGTAATCGGTTCTCTGAGTCCAATGGATATAGTTTCAAAAATCTAGGATGTCAGCCATTTTGAAATTGAAGATGGCCACCACAAAAATCGTTGAAAATATTGGTATATATCCACTTCTCCACAATAAAAAAAATTGTAAATTGGGTGTGCAATCATATGTTATTGGGCTCTCTGAGTCTAACAAACATAGTTTCTTTCAGTTAGGATGGCAGCCATGTTAAAATTCAAGATGGCCGCCACATAAATCGTTGAAAAGCAAATATTTTGATATATAATTCCATTTTTCTTTTTTGTGTCTAACCATATTAATCGGCTCTCTGAGTCTAATAAACATAGTTTCAAAAGGGTAGAATGTCAGCCAATTTGAAATGCAAATTGGCCGCCACAAAAATCGTCAAAATTCAAATATTTTGGTATAATAATTCCACTTCTCCTCGATCAGAAATGGTAAGCCTAAAGTTGTCAAAGCAGATGTTATTGGGCCATCCGAGTCCAATAAACATAGTTTCAAAAAGCTATTTTCCAATAAAAATTTTAATTAAAAAAAAAAATGAAGTTTTACGGCAGCCATTTTGAATTTCAAAATGGCTGTCATCCTACCATTTTGAAAATTCTCACTGAATTAAGTGACCCCAATAACATATAGTTAGACACCAGATTTACCATTTTTGATCGTGGAGAGGTGGAATTATATACCAAACATTTTCAACGATTTTTGTGGTGGCCATCTTGAATATCCGATTGACTGACATCCTATGTATTTGAAACTATGGCCAATGGACTGAGACAGCCGATTAATATATACGATATTTTGCGAGTCCTGCATTCTGAAGCTTGATTTGAAATTATGATTTACCACTTTATTATATTGTGGCGGTTGATAGCCTATTTTTGTTGTACAGTGTTTTCTTTCAAAAAACTGTGTCTTGTTGGCCTGAGCTCTACACAGGGCAATATTCTACTTTTTTAACATGCTAAGAATTCACATTATATAAATGCATTTTTGGGTCTAGAATGCAAGAAGCGGGAACGTTACCGCTCTTTCAGTCTCAAATAATGTAAAAGAATACGTTAGACACAATTTAAGTATAAAAACCCCGTACACATCCAATTCATACGAAAGCCCATTAGTGCCAATAAAGTATTTCGATTACTGAACATATACTTTATTGGCACTAATGGGCTTTCGTATTCATGCGTTAACTCAGATATATAAATATGTGGGCTGAATCACTCGTGCGGAACTCTGCTATGCAAAGTTGTAGGCTAAGTGTGTGTACTCAAGGTAATTCAACAAAAGGACGCACATCTCCGCTCTCGAACATAACGCGTGCGTACAGTCCTTTGATCTTTACTGTGGCATCGACAATCCGATACTAGTTGTGAGTACAGCCGTCAATTATTAGTCTATGCGTGCCATTCGTTTTATGGTGTTAGTTTTTATTCTGTCTCTTATACACATCTAGATGTGTATAAGAGACAGCATCTTATACGGATGTGCATCTGTTATTTAAGAGAAGCAATAAAGTTACTTAATTATCTTACTGATCTTTTCCAGAGGAGAAAAACCTTGAATTTTGAAGAACTTAACGGTCATTAAAAAAAAAAGCTCATTTCCGGGCTAGGAATCAACATTTTTCATTTTGAAGCACCCTCTTTCAAATTCTGGATTCGCCCCTGATTATTAGGTGGTGGTAATACCTCATCAAATGGGTCACTAACAGTTGGATGGATGATTTTTTGTTCTCATTTATCATGTAAATCCGGGATTTTAAGGTATATCTATATGTTCTCATTTAATAAGAATTACATATGCCGAATACCAATGCATGGATGGATGAATGTTTATAATGAATAGACGTCTTCTAGTAGGAAGGCCTATTAAATATTATTTTTCTTTTAAATTCCCAGGCTTTTTCTTTTATCAACATTCAAATACTAGCGTGATTTAAAGTAAACTTTCTAAAAATCCACAAAATATATTTTGTGGGTTTATAGGCATTTATGGCCGCGAAAATGCGAAGCTTGGTGTAGCTTTCCGCCCTGTCTCTTATACACATCTTTGGAAATATACTGTCTGTCCAGGGAGCTCTCATCATTCTGTTAAAGATAAATATCCTCACTTTGATATTGACTAAAGGAGAATGTGATTCCACTCCACACCTCAAATCATGCCAACATCCACAGTCCCAGGATTGATTGGGTTATTGAGGTGGCGTTTATTAAAATTAGAAGGGGCGCTTATTCAAACGGGGTGCTTAAGGAAATTTTCTCGTTATGAGGGGCGCTTATTCGGTAGGGGAGCTTATTCAAACGGGGCGCTTATTCGCGCGAGTACGGTATATTGCGGGTGTAGTTTTGCGTAACTAGTTATAGAAAAATCTCTTGCCTAATCATGACTAAAGGCATGCTGGTATACTTTATATAATAATATTATATTACAAAACCTGTAGGCACTGCCCTACTCAAGGCATTCGACAGCAGCCGTGGGCCCCGGCAGCTTGCTGCCGGGGTGGGGCAGCAAGTCTCTATCAGGTATATTAGTTAAGCAAGCCAAGGACTTCGCTAACTTCCATTCCTCAGTATTAAAATCCTTCCATTGATGAGCACTGTCTAAAACTTTCTTCCAGCTTATATGTGAAAAGATTGTCTGAAGTTCAGACAACATGAAGCCAGTGACACAGGAGCCAGTGAGCTTCCATGACGGCCTAGACTCGGACATGACACGTACTGTTGTTTGTTGTTATTTTGCGACGTCATCCACGAGTACAATACATTCATTATTCATGTTTGTTATTCCTTATCCACCATCGACTA